ATAGCTACTTCAGGTTAATGCGTTTTTGGAGAGTAAGAGCATATTCACAGTTTGAGTGTACTTGACAATTGATTAATAAAATTGTGTGCATTCATTGAAACGTGTTCATTGATTCATCTAATTATTTGTTTCATATAGCTGTTTGGTTAAGATTCCACATTAACTCAAATAATTGCATTGATACTTAGAGTAGATCCGAGTTTTGGGACATACAAGTGGTATCAAAGCCTTACAAATTCGACTTAAGGTTGTTTGGTATCAATTGTTTTTCGAAACACTTGTTAGTTTGAGGTGTTTTTGAGTTGTATTGAAGAACAAAAATGATTCCGCTGTTTTTCGTGTTCATCATTTTCTTCGTGATTCTTTACTGATTTTGGAAGATATTTCATTGGAAATCATTTTTGATTTCATACCAAATTTTTGGGATTCATTAGATAAGGAAACTCAATCAAAATCCATGTTTGTGTTTTGATCTCAATGTTTTCGGCGGCTGAGTGACTTTTTCGGTAAAAGGACTTGGGATTTTGGTTTGGAGGAGTTTTCGACCAAAACTCCTAGTTCTCAGCTAATTGTTTTCGGTCAATCATTTTGAATTTAAAGGATTTTGGTCAAACTATTTGACCTTCAAGATTCTCGGTCAATATGGTGTTTTCGGTCAGAAAATGTTTAAATTTTGGTGTTCAGTCAAATTTCCTTTGATGAGTAATGAGTTCTTCAATCACCAAGAAGATAAATGAAATCTCATGTTCTCAATCTTGTGAAGACAAAATAAATAAATGCTATGAACATAATGAATTATTGGTCAGAGAGGTTTTTGATCTCAAAAACGAAATATATGAAATTAAGAAAATAAATAAACCACTTAAGGAAAAACTAGAAGCTCAATCAAAAGATTTAAGTAGAATTAAAGAAGAGTACAACACCAAATGTGTTCACTATCGGTTTGCCAAGGAGAAAATTGCAAACTTGACTGCTGAACTTGATGCATTGGAGGCTAAATTTGAGGATGCTGATTTTACATGTAAGAATTCGATGTGTCAGGTGAGAAGGTTGAATCTATGATAGAGAAACTGTTAAAGTGGAAAGACAAACAGGGTGCGGGTCTAGGGTATCATAATGTTCCACCTCCTTTCAGTGATAATTATACTCCACCATTTGAAACCAAAGAAACAGAGACTCCGACACAAGATGGCCAGTCCCTGTAACTACTCCATCCGACACAACTCAGAGAACTAATGTGAATGATTTTAATACTTCTACTTCATGTGCAATTGAAGTAACTGTACAAGATGGGTTCGAGCGGAACATGAGTAACTCTAGTTCTGGTGACAGGGCTTCGAAAGCTTGTAATGAAAATGATCCCACTATAGAAAAATCCAAGGCACAAAAATTTGTTAAAAAGGCTAAAAAATGTGCTTGTGATTGTGGAAGGTCTTTAAAACAAAAGTCACTTGGACAAGGACCAAGACACATATTTATTTACCTGAAAAGACCAACTTGTTTCAACTATGGGACTCCCAGTTATATTGCTAGAAATTGCCCACATCGTCTATTTGTCCCTTACTATAAACAAGATTGGCAGAACGTGCCTAGGGGGAGATCTTCCACAAGAAATTTTTCAAGGTCACGTTCAAGCAGTGGTGATTGGAATGCTAAAAAGGCAAAAAAGGGCATGTCGGATAAGAAGACTAATTTGAGAAATACTTCAGTCGGACCAAGATCGATGAGGTCTAAGTCATCTCAGCAGTCGGTCTCAAGTTCTAAATCAAGTTCTGAAACATCCGTTCGACTAAACAGGAAAATGTTTAAACCCGACTACAGATGGGTACCAAAGGTTTCAATTTCCAAATCATCTAAATATTCTAATGTCTCTTCGTTTTTTGTGTTTGATAAACAGGATATGACTTGGGAAAGAGTATCATGTGTTGATGGTAAAGGTCAACCCAGTTTCAAAATGGACTGGGTTCCTAAGACCAATTGATTCTGCACTCTGTGCCGGAGCAGCTATGGAGGAATATCATCAGATTTCAGTATGTTGATAATGGTTGTTCCTGGAACATGACAGGGGACCTCTCTCTTCTGCATGTCATTCAAAATTTTAATGGAGAGCATGTGTCATTTGCGGAAATGGAAAAGAAACGATTACAAATGGGGATTTCTTCAATTGCTGAATTATGGTTTGAATTTTCTGAATCTTCTCTTCTATATGCTTATAATGCTGATTTTCACTTGCCCAAAACCTATTTCTCAAAATTCAAGCTCGTGCTTGTGGGATTTATTAAGATAATACGTTTTGAAAATTAAAATTTCTTTTCAATTTTATTTAATATTTCTTATTTTCTTCCATTTTGTTCAAGTAAAGAAATTTTGTGTCAATCTTTTGGGAAGTGATATGAAGTTTAGTGTTAAAGGGCAATCTGAAATGTGTGTAATGCACTGAAACTAATATTGTTTAGACTCTGTGTTCAATGTGTTGATAGGCAAAAAAGGATTCAAAATGAAAGGAATTATTTGGACTGACCATACGATGCTTGGATAGATTGAGCAGTGAGATAAACAGGGGATCCTGCGAGATCCATTAAAATTACTTATCATCTAGAACTGTGGCTCAACACTTTTTCGACATATGGACTTATGTCCTTAATTCTAATGCTAATAGGGTGACTGGGGGTTCTGATAAAGTAGGTTGGTGTGAAATTGTTTTTATTTCTTATCCTCTATGCCAGTCATATGTTGTCCCCTTTTCGTGATTGAAAGAAATCTGACCTGAGACGCAACATATGCATCTCTATTTCTATGCACCTTTCTATCTATTTATGTCAGTCATATGTTGTCCCCTCTGTGTGATCGAAAGATCCGACCTGGGACACAACATATGCACCTTTCTTCTCTCTATCCCTCCATCTATGTTAGTCATATGTTGTCCCTCTGTGTGATTGGAAGAGATCCGACCTGGAATACAACATATGCATCTCTATAGCTATCTTCTCTCTCAAATAATTGAACAGTCACCTAAAGTAAAGAGCTCTTTGGAATTCCTTGATTACTAAGATATGTCGTGAAGTGGGGAACACGTTCTGGTGCGCTTAAAATTGAATTGGTTCATGACTAAAGGTTGACTGTAGATCTCGCTGCTGAATTTAAGTGGACGACAATATCTTGGTTGTCGTCAGCAAAATGGTCTATTTAGGAATGTGATCGCAATGTCTTGTCACTTATAATCTGTCCAACTTGCAAATATCCTTTGTGTTTAAGTGGACCACAATATTGGTGATTGACTAGAGCTATTCATGCAAGTGTGTGCTGATAAACAATATTAATTTGCTTGACAACTTTTGAGCCTAAAACTTTTAAATTTAGTTGTTAAAATATGTTTATTTTATTTTTTTATTTTTATTTTTGTTAAATTTGTTCATATTTTTCCTCTATGCACAAATTTAGGAGGAGAAATAATAAAAATAAAAAAATTATAATAAATAAATAATTCTCAATAATTTAAAAATTCTTTTGTGGTGTGTTTAATTATTTATTTATTTTATTTTTGAAATGTAAAATCGAAAAGAAACCCCATTAATTAAAATTTGGGCCGAAATATTTGTGGTGGGCCATCTAGGCCGTTCTCGGGGTATATATATTTGCCTTCTTCAAGTCTGATTAGGGTTTTCTGCTAAAATTCTCAATCTGCCATTGTTATTCTATCTCAAGTTTTTCTATTTTCTAAAAAATCTGCCTATTTTCGGTGTTTGTGTTGAAATTTCTTCGGTGATTCACGTAAATATGAGGTTTTCGATCATGGCAATAATGTTTAAAGTGTTTTTAGTGTACATGCTTCCATGGATTTGCAGGTTTCGAGTGGAGTGTTCGAAGGTTTTCAAAATTCTGTTTTAGAACAGGTTTGGAGGGTTTTCGGTCTAACCTGGATTTGACCGAAATCGATTTAGATCCGACCGAAATCGGGGTTCTCAGCCGAAAACATGTGGTCAGATGTCTTTTAACCGAAATCGAATTGTTTTGACGAAAATCAATAGAAACCTTTACTTTAACCGAAATCGCCTGAAGTTTTGCCTTGACTGAAATCGACTAAATCTTTGACTTCAACTGAAATCAAATTATAAACTTAATTTAAGAAAAAAAAATCAACTCTCACTTGGATAGTTTAGTGCAGATAAATGTCAGAGCAGATTAAATTTGTAGACTCCCACAATGTTGTTGGATATCTTATGGATCCACCTGCTGCTCATCAAGAATTCAAATCCATGATGGTGGGTTTGAACAACTGCAGGATTTCTCATGCCCTCCGTACTAATCCAGTCATCCACAAAGAATTAATTACTGATTTCTGGAAAAATGCCTCAATCAACAAAAATGGAGCAGATGGAGCTGGTACTATTGAATCAATGGTGATGGGAAATCAAGTAATTGTTTCTGAGCAAGTTATCAGAGAAGTACTTGAATTTGGTGATGCATCTGCATTTCCAATTGAGTTTTCAGCTGATCAAGTGAAGGAAGTCCTTGAGAAGATGTGTTATGAAGGTACATATTCTCCCACCATCAAAAAGTTGTTGCTACCTTACTGGAGATTTCTGGCACATTACTTTGTGAGTTGCATTTCTGGAAGGAAGGGAGGATCTGATGAAATTAGCCAGACTGCAACCTCAGCTATTGTCGCATTGGCAATGAACTGGGATTACAACTTTTCAAAGTTTGTTTTTGAAGAAATGAAGAGAAACCTTCAAGGGAAGAAAAAGGATCTATTTCTGATGTATCCCAGGTTTCTTCAAATGATTCTAAATGAAAAATATCCCCAAATTGAGAGGTCGTCTGATTCTTTGGACATGGAAGCTTTGGGTCCCAACACCTTTGGACTCATGAAGCAATCAAGAAAAGCTACCAAAGTCGCCTATTAAAGGTTGAAGGATTTGGTTAAGTTTAGAAAGTTTGTTGAAATTGATAACACTCCAACTGCAAGTTCCATTAATGTTGAGGTTGCCGAGGAACACATGGCACCTAAATCAAAATTTCTAGTTGCATTTGAAGAGGTTGAAATATCTGATGATGAAGAAGAAGAGGTTCAAGAAAAGGATATGACTGAGAATGAGCTTGAAGATTTTTTACAAAGTATCTCATTCCCTGAAGAAGATGTAGATGTCACACCTTCCGCTGTGACTGAAAGAGATCGTGATTCAAATGAGCAATTTTATTCTCCTACCCCTGAACAGATGGATGCTCTTAGTACTGAACTTCAGCAAACTGCGAGGAAGCCTCCCCAAGCAGATCCTGTTACATCTGAACCTCCATCTGAGAGTGATCAAGATGATTCAGCTCACATTCTACTCCCCAGAAAAAGGAAAAGAAAAGATCCATGACCTGGAGTACTTATCACCGACCCTGATCAAACCGTATCTACTCCGATTGAACTTAGTTATGTTGCCCAAACTATTGAAAGCACATTCACTGAGTCCTCTCCAGTGATGCAAGAGATTTCAAGCCCGTTACCGGAATCCTCTCCTATGGATCAGGATTTTGAAAGCCCTATTGTACGTTGAACAAGAAGTCTTACCTTCAGAAGGGGCTCAAGCTTCTGGTAGCTCCTTTGAAGCCCCTAAACTGGATATTTCAAAAGGAAAGAGCAAGCTGCCTGAGTTTGAGTTCGTAGATGTCGCTTTGCTTCAGAGTAGACTTTTTGATTTGGAACAAAGTTCAACTGAAAAGGATTTGATTATCGGAAAGCAGGACATTAGACTTTGTGATATTGAAAAGGAGAAGTCCATTAAAGATGCAAAGATTTCAGAACTTCAAGAAAATCTTGGTGGTCTAACTGCTTTATTCTTTGACCTGAAACAACGCTTGCATAAAAAGTTTGGTGATGATTTTCAACCTTTAAGCGCTGAAGGGGAAAAGATTTCTGCTTCTAGTTCTGGTCCAGTCAATCCATCTTCTCAACCTGCAAGTGAAAGAGTTATAAGACCTGCTCTGGATGCAAATCTTGATACCCTTTTATTTTCTGGTCCTACTTCTTCTCAAGAGAGAAGAGAGAAGCAAATCAGGGTTGAGCAGCTAAGAGGAAAGATGTTAGTAATGAAACATTCGGACTAAAATGCTCTAGGTGATCACCCTGAGATGTTTCTTAGGGAGACTGGGAAGAAATTTAAAGATAAAAATGGGGACCGATCTGGTATTTTGTAACACCGTAAATTTTCAAACAAATTTTTCATTTTAAAATCACATAATTCTCATAACACATTTCACAAAAATCTCATTTATCTAATTTACAAAACGCAACTCCATAATTGAAAGAACCTCTTTCATATTTAACATTATTACTCCAAGTTACTCCAAAACATGCTACATGCATATTTATAAACAATATGTTACATTGATAGTTTAATTACAAAAGACTGGATACAAACCGACTAAGTTTTAGTATATTACATAACTACCCAGGAAATTATAATTTTATACATACACGATCACTAAATACAAAAGTAATATTATTAACTATTCTAAATCTTCCAACAGTATGAGCCTATACCGGATCCTTATTGATGGGTTTTAGGTAAAACAAATAAACTAGAAAACAATGCCTAAGTTCACATGCAACCTACTTTGGATCTATGTTTTAACTGTTGAACATATAACTTTGAATTGCAAAACAAGAACCCTAGAGGAGGAGGCTAATTTCGAAATTAACTAATTAGGGTTTAAGAGTTACATACCTTTCAATTGTTATAGCAAACAATTGACAATCCTTTAGATCTTGATCTTCTTGGAAGCTTAGCACCACAATTGTAATGCCTCTAATGGAATCACACCCAAGAGCTAGCAAGAAGGAAACTAGAAGGAGAGAGAGAGAGAGAGAGAGAGAGAGAGAGAGAGAGAGAGTATGCAATTTTCGGCCCTAGGGTTTCACCAAGGAAGGAGTGGCCAATTTTGGGAGCCAGGAGGCTCCTTATATAGTTGAGGGATCTAGGGTTTAGGGAAAACCTTAATACTCCTTGCTTGGGGCCTAGTTAATCCAAGTCCTTATCCAAGCCCCTTGGACGAATCATTAGGGTTTCCCATATGAATTTCGTCCACCTCCTTCCAAGGAGGTTCTGAAGCCTTCCACTCAACTATTTGATAATTGCAAACTAGTCCCTGCACTTTATAATTAATACTTTTA